TACAATTACATGTATCTGTCACATTTTGGGTGTCTGTTATTCCATATCCTGGAGTTATTTCGCATTTCAGTTTCTTGGGAAAGTCGATGCGTGTTTGTCCCATTTATTTAGAAACAGGAAAAAAAATAACATTAATTTTGTAACAACAGATACAATTTCTTGTGTCAAATATTGTCAAGCGATGTGACATACTGGTGTAATCTCGTGAAACTCACGTCAACGCGACCGGGATTTAATTTGTTTGTGTCATTTTTTTTTTCAAATCGAGTTGATTAAAATGTCTCAGTTAACAAGATATTCTGATGAACCGTAGAGTATTTATTAAAAGTTCCACCGTGGCCGATTTCCTGGAGGGGAACATCTGATATTTTGCTATTCTGATCATTGAAATACAAGACATCATATTTAAAAGTTCACATAGTTGCTATGTAATCAATTGAAGTCATTTTGATCATTAAAATCACTTTTCCATTTCTAGACTAATTTATCCGATACATGTTTATAAATAACTAACAACTACAAGTGAATATGTGTCTCTTTTGTCCCGCTTTGTCAGTAGGGTATTTGTAATGATTTATCCCCCTCCCATTCTCCCCTCTCACTAAAAGGACTGCAGTTCTAAATAAATGAAAATGAACAACCATACCTCACCCCCAGCAAAAAAAACACACACACAAAAAAAAAACATAATAAAAAAACATAAAAAAAAAAAATAATAAATAAAAATTTTAAAAAGAAAATAATAATTGATTTCTTGATTATTGATATGGAGATATATTGTTGTGAAGAATTGTAAAAATTGTGTAATTTCTTCACTTCCTAAATGCACCTAAATATGCCGCAATTTTACCAGAAATATGCCACTCTTCCGGAGATGGAAGAAACCAACTCGTCTCCCTCCTGTTTATCCACGTCCCTTATTTGTATATAGATATACATGTACTAGTCCAGGGGCGTGGTAATCAGGTGTTGTATATCTTCGCCGTTACCTGGCACGTTTGTGTACCGGAATCAATAAGTCTGAACATCTTCACGTTTGTATTGATATGGAAATACCAAATAACATTAGTGTTTTAAAAGCAAGGACGATCCTGAGATAAAGTCTGCCTAGTACCGCGTGTTACGGGGTAACAATATCCGGTGTCGCTAACACACAAGGACTAATCGGCCAATGACTCCTTACGTAGACAATGGTATAGCATATACCTGATAGTAAACATGCAAAAAAAATTATAATCTTATCCTCTCAGAATTGATTTGTTTTACATGAAGGTGTTAATCGATCAGGTTTGTGTTCTGGTATAATAAAACATTATCACTTGAGGAAAGAAAATGTAGACATTGTTTTTCTGAATATTCCAAAAGCTTTTTGATCGAAATTTAGCACAAAGGATTTCTCTACGCGGTGCCCTTCACACAATCAATGAGATATTGTCCGAAATCCTTTGTGATATACACTTGAACAAAGTCTTTTAAAATAAACAAGTTGAGTTTTTATTATAATATGACTGATATTGTTTAATCCCGTAAGATATCTTTTATCTCCAAGAGAAAGATGTTGTTAACGAATGATACAGAATTTTGTCGTTAACATCAATACAACTAATTATATAGAGACAAACTGGTCGAAAGTCGAATCGGTGTAAAACGGTACAAAGGGAGACAACTCGAATTGAAAGTAAACGATATGTTATAGCATTCCTGAAAACTTTTTCCTTCTTTTACATCTAAACTCCTAGGATTACAATGACTTTCTCTGTCTATACCCTTGGAACATGTCATGGCAAAACCTGTGTAGAGAGCGAAAGTGATTGTAACAAGGATGTCTCTTTTATTTTGGTATTTGTTCACATCAAGGTACTCTATGTATATTCTCATTAAATCGATGTCATATTATATAGGTATTTGGTTAATTAGAAAGTTTCTGACGCTCGATAACTAAACAGGTATGGCGTGATTGATTTTGTATTCTGATACAAAATCGTGTAGTTTTTGTTTTATGAAGAGATAATAAAAACATTTCAAATGATTTCAAATTTTAATGGTGAATTTAACAACGACTCAGTGTTTGATGATTAATAGCGTCATGTTTGTGGAGATCAGTTTAAAAAGGTTAATTAGATATGATAACATGACTTTCGTGTATGACAGAGCGGTACGTTATATGTGACAACATGACGTGTGTATGACAGAGCGGTACGTTATATGTGACAACATGACGTGGGTATGACAGAACGGTACGTTATATGTGACAACATGACGTGTGTATGACAGAGCGGTACGTTACATGTGACAACATGACGTGTGTATGCCAGAGCGGTACGTTATATGTGACAACATGACGTGTGTATGACAGAGCGGTATGTTTTTTATGACAACATGACGTGTGCATGACAGAAAGGTATGTTATATTTGACAACATGACGTGGGTATGACAGAACGGTACGTTATATGTGACAACATGACGTGTGTATGACAGAGCGATATGTTATCTGTGACAACATGACGTGGGTATGACAGAACGGTATGTTGTATGTAACAACATGACGTGGGTATGACAGAACGGTATGTTATATGTGACAACATGACGTGTGTATGACAGAACGGTACGTTATATGTGACAACATGACATGTGTATGACAGAGTGGTATGTTATATGTAACAACATGACGTGTGTATGACAGAACGGTATGTTATATGTAACAACATGACGTGTGTATGACAGAGTGGTATGTTATATGTAACAACATGACGTGTGTATGACAGAACGGTATGTTATATGTGACAACATGACGTGTGTATGACAGAGCGGTATGTTTTATATGACAACATGACGTGTGTATGACAGAACGGTATGTTATATGTGACAACATGACGTGTGTATGACAGAGCGGTATGTTATATGTGACAACATGACGTGTGTATGACAGAGCGGTATGTTATATGTAACAACATGACGTGTGTATGACAGAGCGGTATGTTATATGTGACAACATGACATGTGTATGACAGAGTGGTATGTTATATGTGACAACATGACATGTGTATGACAGAGTGGTATGTTATATGTAACAACATGATGACGTGTGTGTATGACAGACGTGTGTATGACAGGTGTGTTATGTGACAACATGACGTGTGTATGACAGAGTGGTATGTTTTATATGACAACATGACGTGTGTATGACAGAGCGGTATGTTATATGTGACAACATGACCTATATGTATGACAGAGCGATATACAATAAGGTTGGTGTTTAAATGTTCAAATTTCCGCACTTTTACTTAATGATGACAGCAAAACGAATGTTTTGCGTTTTGCTCGAAGGAATTCAGGATTTTCTGACAATATTACTTTTTATGGAATCCACTTTTTAGTATTTCATTCAATTTTCGAGAATTTTTAGAATATATCTCATTTTTTTCGATTGTCTTTGTGCACGAAATGAAATGTAAGTTGTGAAGGAGTTTGATTTTTGACTGTTAAAAAATAAGAAAAAAGTCGTTATTTTTATCATGTAATTAAACATGTTTGTACTTAAATTTCCTGATAAGTATTGTCTGAAGTATTATGTAGCACAAGATAATTTCTCAAAAGAAAAATATTGATATAGTTGATCTTTATATAGGTAAGTACAATGATTGAATAACTATACACATGAGACCTTATTTCTTTCAGATACAAGACAAGAACTTTTCAAAACCACGATTCCTGGAGTTGATCATTGATCTAAATACAGACCCATCCAATTTGGTTCGAAATCAAGTAATATAAAATGCAAAGCCGTTTAACAGCCCGACTGCAAGAATTATGTCTGATAAGCGTCTACCTCATATTTCATTACTGAGTCGTCGATGATATTACAACCATTTCCTCTCGCTGCAGATCGTCAGCGGGATGTTACTATCGTTGGTAATAATTCGCTAAAGTAAGTCGATATACATATGTAAAGAGACACATAATTTAATCGAACACCAGAATACGAATTCGAGAAATGAGTCGATGGAAAGATAAACGACAGCGACGACGGCGACGACGACGACGACGGCGGCAACGGTGATGATGCTGCATTCTGATCTCCCAAAGTTACCGCCCTTCGTTTCACCGAAAATATAATGATGATGACGACGACGACAACGGTGAATAAAAGAGGCAGTTTGTGAATTATGGATAAACGTGAATTGTGGACGATCTTTTATGTCATAATGATACAACCTTTAACGATGTATAGCGTTAGTTCAAGATTTCGACATAAACTGAATGAATGGTATATGACTCAAACTCGTGATCTCGGGGAACATTTTGTATTAATTAAAAATGCTGCATCGTAATATCGGGAATGAATGAATGATATATGATTCTACCTCGTGATTTCAGGGAACATTTTGTATTAATTAAAAAAGCCACTTCGAGATATTCGGGAATAAATGTGATGATATATGACTCCATCTCGTGATCTCGAGGATCATTTTGCATTAATTGAATATGCTATCTCGTGATATCGGGAATTAATGCGATGATATATGACTCCATCTCGTGATCTCGGGGAACACTTCGTAATAATTAAAAATGCTATTTCGTGATATCGGGAATGACTGAATGATGTATGACTCTATATCGTGATCTCGGGGAACATTTTATATCAATTAAAAATGCCATCTCGTAAAATCGGGAAACACTGCGATGGTACATGGGTAAGACGAAATATGATGATATCAGAGAACATTTTTTCGACATAACACACTATCTCGTGATAACAGTATTGTGATTATATGTGATCGTATATCTATATTTGAGATAGCGATATGATAAAAGACTTTTTCCTGTGATAAGAAAAATATTGAGTGACTATGTTACACCTGAATGGGGAATTATAACGTAAAGCGGGATTTCCGGGTAAAACCCAGAGATACTCCTAGTGATATATAAAACGCTTTCTCGTGTTGGAGGATATTTCTTGGAGATATGAGAAGAGATCAGCCTAGATTACTAGGAGAAATTATCTTATGATACGAGGGATGGGCCTGTTATTATAAGGAGATCTTGGGGGAGTTCCTTTAGCCAGTGGAGCTTTCAACTTCGTGGCGTCCATTGGGTCACTCCGCCGGTCATGCACCGCAGAATTTTTGTATCTTGGCAGACTATCAGATTGTGTTGCCTTGTACACGTTAGGGGCACTACAACTCGGCTTCATGTGGACTTGGTTGTCCATTCGTCCGCCGAAACCGCCAACATTATTCGGTACGTTCAGACGAATGGCTGATCCGCTTTTCTTCATTTCCTCTTTTTTCCTCCTCGTTTCTCCCTGTACGACGATAACGCGGTACAACAGAAGTACTATCACTAGGGAGTTTTTGGACGTGAAGAACATGTTAGTATAACTTATCACGCCGTACTTGAATATTAATAGAAGTCTTACAACCAGGAAAGGACAGTCCTGCATGAAAATTGACGTGACGATGCCGTATATCTCTGGATTACAGCAACCTACTTTATCGCCTTCGGTATAACCTGAGGCAGGTACGCCTGACTGGTCACGGCGCGCACGTGTTGCGGTCAGAACTAGGGTGAACTGAAGCAAGCTGAGTGTCCAGATCCCCAGAATGATGTAACACAGCAAGCGATTATACATCACCTGTAAATTAAATCACAAATATTATACTTTCCATTTCAATCTTATTTAAACACTGAATTAGAGTCAGTCACTTCTTCAAAATTGACGACACTGCTTTTTTTCTGGCAACCTATGACGTCATCATATCATGATTTCATATGCATTATGACGTCATAAAATCAAGCAAAAATATAACCGAGGATATCGACCGTAGACTTATATCTGAATAATAACGCTGTTTCATGATTTTTTGCAAAAACATCGAAGTAGGTGATGACATTAACTGAAAGTTATTTCATGTAAATGAAATAATAATCGATTTATAAAACTTGTAACGAGTTTTCTCTAACCAAAGACTAAGGAAAGTGAATTCAAAATGAGATTATTTTTCAATTCCCTTGTTAAATATCCAACTAGGTTAAAGGATCATCTCTGTATCCCAGTCTCTTCCATTACTTCCTTCTTTTCCCTCCCTTCTCATTTTTCTGTCTTTATTAGTCCGCTGAAATGCCGGCAGGTCGTAATAGAGGACGTAAACCCCGTTAAATGAATAAATAGGTTTAAGGATAATGATAATATATGCTTGAGTACACAAAATTACACACTAAAGATCCGACCTTTGAAGAGTCTGTTTTTTTCTGCTTTGAGAACGTTTGAAAATCAATACATGTAAGAAGTTTTTTTTCTAGACATATGTAAACAAAAAGCGTTTTAACTGATGAATTTCCAGTGATGTACTGACTATTGTATTTACTACAGCAGTATGTCTATGTTATAACGAGGCTTTTTGATGTAGCTGATGCAGACATATTTCAAAGACATATTCTCACTCGGTCAAAACATCGAAAGTAGAAAGGAAGTTAAAATTAACAGGCTTTCCCTTAACGAGCTTATCAACATACACTGGTGTACATTCTATAAAAAATGACGATACATTGTTTGTACGTAATCATATTAAAAATTAAGAGATTTATATCACATTACTATGTATATAATTTATCATGGTTGTTTGCATAATGTTGTTGATAGTATAGCGTTCGCTCAGCTTTTTTAATGGCGGTAAAAAGACGATAGGACTTTAAACAACACACATGAACATCGGTATCTCGAACTCGGTGGGACCATGGGGAAATTTCGAGATAACCGAGTGTTCGACTTAGGCGAGTTCGAATGTTTTGTGTACAGTTAAGCAGGACCGTCGAAATGATTCGAATTTACCAGGTTCTTTTAGTTATACGAGTTCGAGATAACGAGGTTCAACTGTTCTAGCCAGGTTCTAACAAATAATTGCAACTTTAAATTAGTTTTAAAGTATAGACAACCAAACATGTTTTTACATATCTACTCAGTCTGGTGATAAAACCAATTATGATAATATCCACTAGATCTATGCAAAATAGTGTTGCATAATGATGAATATTTGGTAGATATGGTAAGAATGGTGAAAACTGGATACGAAATATATTTGATAATCATTGATAAATACTTACCAGCTCCTCACTGAAAGCCTCGTAGAATTCCACAATATCGGCAGCTGTCCCTACGTACACCAATAAGAGTTGAGATAACTGGTCATGTGACAAAGAGCCCTTCGGGAGCAGCCATCTCCCAACTATCAACATCAGGAGTAGGAACTGTTCTAGTATACGAAGCCATAGATTGGCGGGGATAGCCAATGGAATGGTGATCTCCAGCTGTAAACAGACGTCATCATACATTACGTCATTAGAAGGCAACTCTGTATCATGACGTGATTAAAGCGTTTCGAGGTTTATTTCTCCAAAGTTTTGACCTAATTCACATGGACTCCATAGCGTGCTTAACCCGATTTAACATCATGTTAACATTTGGTGCTGCATTAAATTTCATAACACGTACTTCATAGCGTATTCGGTACTTAATAAATTAACAGACACATTATGTGATACCAGGATTAACATTCTGCCTATAAACCGGAAATGTACATATAGAGCGTTTTAGGGAGGCGGATCAGAAAAGTACACTTAAATAAAGAAGTACGAAGAATATTGCACGTGCGCCGTTTGATGGACGGAATGTACATGGAAGGAGTAAACAGGGTTGAAGTATAAATCAAACATGCTATGAAGAATGTGGAGTTTCACTGTAATTAAGCACATTTATGATAGTATATATCGCCTGGCTTTTAACATATCATCATGCTTTATTTCCCCATATTCTTTCTTTTTCAAACCATTAAACCGAGACATACATGTTTCTTTCTCTCCTTAATGTTGATACACATAGTTCTTCAGAATCAAACCCGCACTGCCTGCAAAATGTTTCCAAGATCAAAAAAGTCTCATGTCTGGATCATATTTTAATGATAACTTACACTGACAGATCGTTTTTTAACTATACATTCCTGACTTAAAACAAACGCCATGGACGAAAGCAGCTCGGAAATATAGACTTTCTGACAAACGTTTGATTAAAAATAGAAAGAAACGAACGATTTATACAGGGAAATATATATGAACTCGTGCAAGGACGATAAGACTCTGTCTATTGGTCTTTTCTTTGTTTTTAACTGTTGTAAATGGTATAAAATTGTATAGAAGACACACCAAAGAATAGCACTATTTGATACAAATTTGATTTTAGATAAAGCAAAGTCGCCAGAAAAGCATATTTTCACAAGTCCACTTACGTGTACATAAGTAATTTGCATTTATAAAGCTTTAAAAAGATGCCCATCCGCATCAGTTCTAATAACTGTTTTAAGAATGGACACTCGTTTAATCTCAGATTTATTAATTGACAGAATGGTAATGGGATTTTCATCGTCTGACACATTAAGTTTCATTTCATCGAGATAAATTTCTTTTCAATTATCATATAACGAACATTTTCAGAAAAAGTTGATTTAGTTTTCAAAAATATTACAAAATGCAGTGTATGTATTATGTTGGACCACGAGTTAGTTCCAAGCCAGTGTCACAAAGCCTAATTTTAGTCGTCCTAGATTGATGTCACTAATTATGCTGTATAAATATGTCTCAAGTTAGGATTTCTGTTTCAATTTCCTAGTCGTAATTTACTATTATTTTCGATCAATCTGGATTATCAAATAATTGTGATTTAAGAGAAATCAATATTTTCGATCGGACTTGATTATCAAAAAATTGTGTTTTAGGAGAACTGAATATCTTCGATCGAATTTGTTAACCAACTAACTGGATTATCAACTAACTGGATTATCTACTAACTGTGTTTTAGGGGAACTGAATACATACTTTGACTGCGTGATCTGAGTATATATTGTCGGTCTGCTTATCATTTCCTTCACAAGTTCTGGTATCATCACTTAGGATGGTTAAATATAAGCAAGACTGTTACTGTGTTTGATTTCGGGCAAGCGTTGTAATCCCTAAAATTAGACTTTTCACAAAATTATAGCACTTTCTGAGAAAAAATCATAAAGATTATCAGCTTCAAACTAACACTGGTCGACACTCACTGTTGTGTCTACCCACATTCGCTGTTTTGATCGGAGATAGCTGTGTGCATCACGTGACCTTTCAGAACCTCGTTTTAACCCGCTGCTTTGTTCAGTATGATTTTTAAATTTTCCGGCATCGCGCATGCGCAAACACATTGTTTACGTTCCCCGAACGATAATGATATTTATTAACGTTAGGCTGATCCTATTTCATTCTATTTTTTAACGTTTTTAATAAAATAGTTATGCAAACTTTTAAATATTATGATAAACAGAGAGAGCACAACTTTTAACAGATATTTAAATGCTATAATGTTTTTATCAGTTATGAAATGAAAATCTAACTATTTAATCTCTTTAAAGTGAGCGCTACTTTAACAAGCGGATTACGTACATGTAACTTTGGACGATGCTGAATAGTTTAAAACAATCTTGTTGTAATGATAGCATCAAAATGATATTAAGGTTTAAGCGTACTTGCTCAAAAGTAGTCAGAACTGGTGTTGCTGTGTTTTGCCTGGGTTTTAGCATTCTGTATATTTTGATATAGATCCAAAGACATATATTTCAGCGCTATATGCTAGTATTGGGTCAAGTAACGGATCAAAAAGTTAGCAATGAGCTCTAACAGGAAGCCTTTTTTCATTTCTTATTTGTATATTTTATTAATTCATTCATTTATTTTATTTATTTTTCGGATATTTTATTTTAAGACCTTTGAAATACATCACTGGGTGATAATTTCGGTTATGGTATAATGATCATATTCGAACGCACCTCAAAATTCTTCATTCCAAAATCCGATATGAGTCATAAATTGAATTAATTCAAATTATTTTTACTAAGAATTGACATTAAATCTCCATATATATTCTCTTATGCAAACTAAAGCAATATATCATTATAGGATTCATTAACGTGACATTTAAAGTACATCATATTCTCTATAACACACGATTTCTATTTCCACGATTGCTGAAGTAATTTGCCCGTAATCACTGAACCCTGGAATATTTTAGTTTGACCTGAATGATGTGTAACGGTTATCCAGCCTGTAATGACATTAACAAACAATTGTGTTTATATTGATAGCAGTGAACGTTGTAATTACACGACCAACAGGAAGTCGTGTCTTACACATGTCAGCAATCTGTGTAATAAACAACAGCACGTCGTAAACTTATCATCAAACTATGTAATTTGTGAAGTGGAAAATCGCGGCATGTCAAATATTCAGAATAGACGCAAAATATAAATCTACTGAGCAGAACGATGCTGTCGGAACAGGCCAGGAGGTGTGAGAGTGTGAAACGTACAGTCTATGCAGATGTATTATATATCCTGACTGTATTCCCGTCATTTCTTTTTCGTTTTTTTCCCTTTTTGTCTTTCCCCTCCTCTCTACCATAAACTTTGTTGTTACTACTTCTGTCATTCCGTTCACTCAAACATGTACATACTTTCATTCAAGCTTTCATCTTTTCCATTCATTCCGCAACACACTGTAGATATTATACACTTCCTTCCCTGTGACTATAAACCCTCCATCTTAACTGCTCTCACCCGTCTAACTATAAACCCTCCACCTTAACTGCTCTCACCCGTCTAACTATAAACACCTCACCATAACTGCTCTCACCCGGCTAACTATAAACACTTCACCTTAACTGCTCTCACCCGTCTAACTATAAACACTTCACCTTAACTGCTCTCACCCGTCTAACTATAAATCCTCCACCTTAACTGCTCACATCCGTCTAACTATAAACACCTCACCATAACTGCTCTCACCCGTCTTATTATAAACACCTCACCATAACTGCTCTCACCCGTCTAACTATAAACCCTCCACCTTAACTGCTCTCACCCGTCTTACTATAAACACCTCACCATAACTGCTCTCACCCGTCTTACTATAAACACCTCACCATAACTGCTCTCACCCGTCTTACTATAAACACCTCACCATAACTGCTCTCACCCGTCTTACTATAAACATTTCATCTTAACTGCTCTCATCCCTCTAACTATAAACACTTCACCATAACTGCTCTCACCCGTCTAACTATAAACCCTCTACCTTAACTGCTCTAACCCGTCTTACTATAAACACTTCACCATAACTGCTTTCATCAGTCTAACAATAAACACGTTGCCTTAACCATACTGTTACCCGTCTAACTATAAACACTTCACCTTAACTGCTCTCACTCGTCTAACTATAAACCCTCCACCTTAACTGCTCTCACCCGTCTAACTATAAACCCTCCAACTTAACTGCTCTCACCCGTCTAACTATAAACACTCCACCTTAACTGCTCTCACCCGTCTAACTATAAACCCTCCACCTTAACTGCTCTAACCCGTCTAACTATAAACCCACCACCTTAACTGCTCTCACCCGTCTAACTATAAACACTTCACCTTAACTGCTCTCACCCGTCTAACTATAAACACTCCACCTTAACTGCTCTCACCCGTCTAACTATAAACACTTCACCTTAACTGCTCTCACCCGTCTAACTATAAACACTCCACCTTAACTGCTCTCACCCGTCTAACTATAAACACTCCACCTTAACTGCTCTCATCCGTCTAACTATAAACACTTCACCTTAACTGCTCTCATCCCTCTAACTATAAACACTTCACCATAACTGCTCTCATCCGTCTAACTATAAACACTTCACCTTAACTGCTCTCATCCCTCTAACTATAAACACTCCACCTTAACTGCTCTCACCCGTCTAACTATAAACACTTCACCTTAACTGCTCTCACCCGTCTAACTATAAACACTTCGCCTTAACCATACTCTCATCCGTCTAATAATAACCATTTCACCCTTACTATATGTTCACCTGTTTTGTTATAGGCAATTCGATTGAACTTCTATGACCACTTTTAATACTTCGCTTTAACCACTTTTCTCCCTCTAACAATACACAATTCGTCTTAGCTATTTTTGGCTCTTTTTCATATGTTGTAATCTATCGTACCATCTGCTATCTGTCCTGTGTTTATTAACTCACTTTAATATTCCTTTCCGTTGAGACTACCTATTCCTTCTTCCAATAATACCCTCTTTACCCAACCCACTCTCCTACACACAAACGTTTTACCTAACCCTCTGTCACCCCTTAACACAAACGATTTACCTAACCCTCTGTCACACCTACACACAAACGATTTACCTAACCCTCTGTCACACCTACACACAAACGTTTTACCTAACTCTCTGTCAATCCTCCTTCCCATAATCGTTTCGCCTTTCCTACACACAAACGTTTTACCTAACCCTCTGTCTCCCCTTAACACAAACGTTTCATCTAACCCATTGTCACACCTACACACAAACATTTTACCTAACTCTCTGTCACACCTACACACAAACATTTTACCTAACCCTCTGTCATCCCTACATACAAAAGACTTACCTAACCCTCTGTCACACCTACACACAAACGTTTTACCTAACCCTTTGTCACACCTATATACACACGTTTTACCTAACTCTCTGTCAATCCTCCTTCCCATAATCGTTTCGCCTTTCCTACACACAAACGTTTTACCTAACCCTCTGTCTCCCCTTAACACAAACGTTTCACCTAACCCATTGTCACACCTACAAACAAACGCTTTACCTAACTCTCTGTCACACCTACACACAAACGTTTTACCTAACTCTCTGTCAATCCTCCTTCCCATAATCGTTTCGCCTTTCCTACACATAGACGTTTTAACTAAGCCTCTTCTTCCCATAAACAAATTACTTTTCCTTTCGTCACTCCTTTTTAACGCAGATTTTTTACGTCTCCTTCACAAAGATGTTTTACCTAACCCTTTTTCACCCCTCGTAACTTAACCTCCTCCTTCCCTTTTCCAGACCGTATGAGTATGTGGTGTACTGGGCGGCCATTGTCGGTATCCCAATGTAAGCAGGCGTGAAATGGTTGTAGTGATGTGTTACTCGCCCCCATCACGTGCTGTATAACGAAGTATTTTATAGCTGTTAACTACAGCTGTGAATAGATTTATGGTGCAGAGGAGGGAGAAAAAGAAAGAAGAGTTTTAATTTACTGTCTGTTACTTCCGAAAGAGTAAACAAATTTACGCATCTGTCGTACAATCAACTTGTGCAAGTGTAGCGATTCAAAAATAACATATCGGTGTATTTTGTTCCTAGGATGATTGATATGGAGCGAGCACAGGCGAACTCCATCTAACTCTGATATACCGGGCTGTGTTGTAGATTCCTCGGGGATTCCACACAGATACATATCATACCCTAAATGTTACCGATTGATTGACTGATTCTGTTTGAATTCGTTTATGTTAACTAAACATGACGTCATGAATTCGTCATTTACTGTATATCATTTAAATTTCACGGATATTTTATTTCGCGAATTTACCTGTTTTCGCGAACGCTGATCTGATGAGCGAATGGAGACTCCAGATAGCATTAACCGAAACATTCGTACCAATAATCGCGAACGACTTCAATTCGAGATTGAGTTTCCTCGCGTATTAACGCGAAAATAAAGCTCACGCGAAATATGTATTTTACAGTAACATTCCATTCATACGCGAGATAAGACATTGTTTATTCTTTTATATATCGTTAAATTGTATAAGATTGTCCTGATGATATCATATCTAAAGAGTCTTAACCGACTGTTAAATTCTTTCCCTGATGTCCGCATTAGTCTTGCTAACAATGACTACTACAACAATTACATATCGTCACAATCTTGTAAACCAGAAATCCCGTTTATATGCCTGGTAAATCCCTTGTAGTCTACACTGTCATCATTTGATGTCGCGACGTGACTTTGTTGACCATGCGTTTACCTAGATCTACACCACGAATGTCGCCGATAAAGCTGTCAGTTTATTTCCGATGTCCTTTTATCAAGATTCTTATGAATCTTTCTTATTATTAATGTGGCGCTTTTTTTAACTTTTTTTTTTTGTTTTGTTTTTGTTTTTGTTTTTGTTTTGTTTATTTTTTGTCATTCCGATCACTGATCCATGATGACCTCGCCACAACTATCCTAAATTACATAAATTACTAGCTCCTTCCTGGTCACAAATACTTACATATAACTTAATATATATCCCCGTATCTTTACAAATGTCACTAACCTTGTGTAAAAGACAGTTGGCCTGGAACTTACTCGAAGAAACTCCAGCTGTTTGATTTGTTGTGTGTGTTTCACCAATAAAACTTTTCTACAATGGCCGAAAATTACTTTTTAATAAAAATATCTAAAATATTTCTCTGTGTGTTGCATGATCTTTTGTGTGTGTTTTTTTTTTTTTTTTTTTATATCAACAGCTTCTTAAGTGACCTTGTAATGACCTTCATCTTACTTACTCCTTCAATATTGACGCTAAGGTCCTCTTTGGTGGTTCGGTTGACTGCCACGTGGTATACTCTACTGCTATTGGTCAACTCACTGCTCTCGCGCATGGCAATTCTTTCCTCCATCTCGTGCAGCTCGAGAAACCAGATGGCGGGTACCACACTCCCAAGATAAAAGAACACGCTGGGACAAAACCTGTAAACAAACGCAATACCGCGAAAATTAGTACCTAAGACATTTAATTAAATAGTTAAAGTTTGGTGAACGTTGTAGATCATTATACAAAAGTTGAGGAAGTGGGTTGGGCTTAGAAATCACATCCCATAATCCTATATCACATACAGTCGATATCTCGATATCTCGAGGTTCGACTATATCTACCCTGCTGCCAGTGTTAAACATGTTATGACATACATGTAAATATGACCCAGCGGTGCTGCCGATATTTTTCGGGATTTTAGTGTAATATATATCTTCGTACATCCTCAATATCCAAGGGGTTAGTCTTACTCTCTCCACCCCTGGACTGTTTCATGGCAAATTTGAAGGTTTCATGTGCTACACCTTGTGGATATGACGAGAAGACTAGTTTGATCCTCTGATGTACATCAAACGAATCTCGAGGTCCCTTTGAAGTTGGTTGTCGCTCCTTTGTAATCTTCAAAAGAAAAGTATCGGTCTGTTATTGTGCCTTCAATTTTGCCTGGTAATGTTCCATGGATGTAGAGAGCGATAGTGATCGTAACCCCTGGAGTATCGAAAATCATCTTCGTACATCGTGACAAATGTAATTAGTTGTGTTTTTTTTTCTTTTTGATCATTTTTTGTTTGTTTGTTTTTTCGATATATTTTTCCAGAAAAAATGTTTTCCGCTAAGTCATGGATTTATACTTCATGTATATTTTCATTATCGTTGCGCCAGTGTCGAAGATAGTATGTTTTGTACTAATGATATGTTCCGAATACTGTTATTTTCGCAATTCTATTCGATACTTGAAAAGAGCGAAAACAAAACTACATGAAGAACACCTTGCCTATGAAAATAATATACCACTCCAAGCTCTATATTACTATTTTCAATTGTACAGTAAGTGTAACAAACAAACGGCACAAGAGTCGTCCAAAATACGAATATCTATTTAAATACTGCATCAATTTTTCTTCATCTCTCTCTCTCTATCTCCAACCCCCCCCCCCCCCTCTCTCTCTCTCTCTCTCTCTCTCTCTCTCTCTCTCTCTCTCTCTCTCCCTCCCTCCCTCCCTCCCTCCCCCCACCCCCTCTCTCTCTCGCTCTCTCTCTCCCTCACCCCCACTCTCTCTCTCTCTCTCTCCCTCCCTCCCTCCCTCTCATTACTCTTACTGTATTTTGATTAACCAAGATTTACACGTATGGTGTCGTCGAAGAAGCAAACACGCTTACTCTTCCGTATCACATGACTCTATCCTTGTTGTACTTTTAGGAAGTCCCCGTGTGCATCTTTCTGTTCTTAATATTTTGCGCTCGTTTTATCGGTTTAGTTTTCTTATTTTTTTACCTTAAAATATGCGAGACCGTTGTAAGTCAGTACGCAGGCAGGTTGCTTACAGCCATATTTAATTCATTAACCACAATCATTTTTTTCAAAGATGGTACTGGTAGAAGTTTATGAAAATAAATGGCGGTCGTTTCAGGATCATTTGTAGTAAATATGCTATTTGTAAGCATTATGTCTAGTTTAGTCTAGGACGGCCTTCCGACGGTCGATATTTAAAATTCATGTATTACGATGTACGGACATCAGTTTTGATGTGTACTGGTATTTTTATTATCAAATTATTTTTACTTTATGTCAACTAAAAGGCATCAATTATATATAACAGGCCATCAACCTATCTGTTTCAAACAGTTTCTAGTTAGGCGTACTCACAGCCACTCTTTCCAATATGGAAATCATTCATGCAATGAAATAAAAATCAATTTGTAAAATTATTTGACCATTATCGGGTACAATAAAATCTGCAGTGCTGTTAGACTGTGTAAAGCCATGCCCCGAAACACATTAATATATTACCTGCAGTTTTTGATCGAGCCTGGATGGTGCCAAGGCAGATGCTGGTGGTTTAGATATTAATGTAGCGCCCGTGTTATTTTCTTAATTCTGCTTGCCTTCTTCAATTTATTTTACAACACATGAATCTACATCATCTATCAAAGTTATAAACACTTCTACACCGCAGAAGATTTACATGTTACCACAAACAAAACAAAAAACAAAACAAACAAAACATAAACAAAAATATCTGATCGTTTTTTAAACATTCTCGTCCCCCATCCCCTGACAGAATGAAACAAAGGGCAGTAACTCTTGAAGATCAGAAAGTTCGGAAGGGATCGTTGTAATAAAAATATATACATTCATATCATTCTGACACTTGATCCAACCCGGCTTGGTATAGAATTACGCTGATTATGAACTTACAGAAAGTCACATGTTTTGCGTTGTTCAAGATAAAATAGAATGTATTTTTTAAACCTTAAAATCATCTTGTTTACGTTTTGCTCTTTTCATGACAAAATAGGAATATCATGTATTTTCATTTTACAATGGAATTCGAAATTTTGGCCTGATTAAGCCACTTCAGGTTTTTGATGAACGAATTCTGAACCAAAACCCTCTTCTATAAAGTCGTGAAAAATATCTTTTAATGTGTTGTGAGAAAAACCAAATGACTAAAAATCATAAAACATGTAATTAGTAGTGCTTTTCCCCCTTTTTGATATAATTTTTTGGTTTTCGAAAACAGTCAACGGAGTTTTATCTCTAAAAAATTGTCATTGTTATGGACTAGTTGGTTTAAGTCCTGTCGGAGAGCCTGACAGCAGTGATATACAAGACACATTATGTTAGGTCCTTTTGAAATCACTCAGGCACATGTTTATTTAAAATCTCTGCTGACTGGCGGTAATATACATATCAGAGTGATGGTAACAAGAGACCCAAAGGGCCTGTATTGCTCACCTGACTTGGCTGAATTTCCATCATTAAAAGTAAAGGGAAAGAAATTCTAAATATCCAAGGACACAACACATAACATTTCTATTTTCAAATCGTATTCCAAACCTTCTTTGCAAAGGACAGAATCCTCCCATTCCAACAGAGGAACGATTTTAAAGAATTTTCTCTATTTTCTCAGGAGTCCGATACCCATCGTTTATATATAGAATTTTAAAGACTGTTTCTTCTATTGAACCCAACAACCTTTCACTCTATAAGGACGACCCCAAAGACTTTACAAATTGATTCCCTTTGCCGAAGAGTGTTTCAGACCGACTTCCGGTAAAAACCAATCATTCCTACAGGAGGAGTGGATTTTAAAGAATTAGGACCTTGCCCCTGCATCCCAAGGGGTCCGAAATCAACCGTTTCCCCTCTACCCAACGATGCTTCAAACCAAATTTGACCAAATTTGGGCATTATCCAATCGTTCCCACAGGAAGAGTAGGCTTTTAAAGAATTCACTCTGTTTCCACCCTAAATTGATTTCCACCACCAAAGAATGCCTCAGCCCAACTTTGAGCAAAATTCAATCCTACTTCAAGAGGAGTTGGACTTTAAAGGATATAATTCATTCATGACAAAAAGCGATTTGTATAAAAAGTTGTCGGACGGACAGATGGACAATGGACGTCCGCGTTATGACATAAGATCACTAGTCCATTGTAATCTGTGTTTAAACTTTTTATTTTGTCGAATAACAGAACAATTTGGACATGAAAAACAAGGTTGGTAATAGATTGTTTATACTTAAGTTCTCAAGTGGAGTTATTTTGAATAGTTTACAGGTTTTTTGTATCAATCTCCACCGAGAGTTTTCGTTCCTTACATTCATACGGTTGATACTAGATGGCCTCGCAGTCAAAACAGCATTATTACATAACACCTCAGAACTAGCGACAATAAGGGAACGGCGTTACTATGTCATAATTAGAAACTCCGGTTCTGTAATTTCCATTAAAACAACTCGCGAAAGTTTTAATGAAATTTACAGAACAGAATTCATTTTTTTTGGAAATAATTTGATTAACATCTTGATATTGGTATCATCAATAAATTAAGTTGGTTGTCATGGAACTAATACTGAATTGAATATTCCCTGCGCGACATCGACACAACGCAAAAATAAACACAGGGTTGAAAAAACAACAACACCAGACCTGCCTGCCAGGACAAAATCTATAGAACTGACAAGCAGTAAGTACATACATAAAACAGACACATGTTGGGGAATATCACGGGCTTGGTACCTAATGAGATGGTACCCCAGTGTAACACCTAATTTTTATAACAAAATGCCCCGTCAACAGGAAAAATATAGTCAAACATTGACGCAACTACAGTACATCTTATAATGGGCTGTTTGAAAAATGACCAATAACGCTCGAGGGCAAGAAAATAATGGAAAAAAATCATATTTCATAACCAATGATCTTGTGTAAGAAGACAATGTCAGACATATTGGAAATATGAACGCTGTTTAAACATTACAGATTTGTTATAAAATCACCACGACTATTCAAGACATGTAAAAAAAATCCAATGATCCATTTAAGCGACTCTTTTTATGTCAGGTTGTTCTGTTTGTATGAAAATCTTAGTTTTAGTACATATACAGCATGTTAAGAAGTTCCATTAATCTCACAAATCTCAATATTGTATCGACACGTTACCATTGTCTGTATATGTAACATCTTTTGTTTAACCACTGACATAAAAGTCGATCGTTTTAAGTACTTTTAGCATTATCTTTTTATAATTTACTTATTTATTTATCTATGTAATAAATAATTGCATTTTATTTGTAAAACAGTCGGAACTGAGAGTACCAATATATTTGCATACTTTTATTCAATTACTAAGAAGCACCTTGCGGTAGCATTTTGTGTCATTTATACACAACTGTTGTTAATATCAATTTTGAATGATTAATAGTAAATTCTAATAATTTTGATTTTGATAAAACTCAACTCATCAGTAATAATTTGATATTATTCAAACCAAATGAAACGTTGCTAAAGGGAGGTGACTCCAGACAGCTTGAAATTGAATTTAAATATTTCGATAAGAAAACATGGTGTAGTGTCCCCGTGAAGTCATCAAATTTAGTCATTATGTACTCAGATCCGTTGTTGTATATTCGCTATGGTCATTAACATA